CCAGGACTTCAGGCTAGAAGCTGAGGGAGGAGGGGAGGGCGAAGGCACAACCGTCCACTTCTGCAGAGGTCCTGCCGTGACAGTGGCCCTGATTAATGATGCATTCTGCAGATCGTCAGAGGTCCACCCCCTGCTCGCCGCCACCACCAAACCAGAAAATATGCTTCTTTATGAGTCTGGGTATCTAACCGCTGTGGTTTTCTAAAGCCAGAATATACTGAGTCAGGTCACCTTCATGCCATAGCTGCCACCAAACCAGCCCTCTGTCCACTGGGAAGGGTGTGAGCTCCGGGGCACAGGGATGGGCCACAGCTGGCCAGACGGCAGGAGGATGGTGCCTGCCTCAGCCTCCTTGTCTCCTGGGCCCTGTAGAAACCGAGCTTTCAAACCTCATGTCAAAAAGACCTTTTAAAGTTTGTATCAAATGCTTAAGAAAGGAGCATGCAGTGAGCATTCTGTCTACTGGTGACCTTGCCCGGAGTATGATGGTGACACTTTGTGACGTGGCACCCACAGCGGCGCCTCCTTCCCAGAGGCTGAAGCAGCGGACGCATCACGGGAGGCCTGGGGTCCAGTCGTGTCTTACGGCTCCATATGAGAATTTCTCAGTTGCTCTGTTTGTTTACTGATTTAATCATTCATTCATTTAGCAAATATTGCATCCACTTATGTGCTGGGGACTGTGCAAGGCCCTGGGACATAAAGGGGAGCGAGACAGGTGTCAGACAAATTTGGGGTCAGCTCACAGGCGGGCGTTCCCTTTTGTCTTCCTGCAGAAAGCCCCCTGCTTGGTATTGAGGAATCATAGAAACATACATGACTTCTCCCAACCCCGCAATTCAAATCAGAACGACAGCAGTGTTATGATCCCCTAAGAGTCATCGGGACACTCAGAATTTCACGTTTTGTCCACTTAAAGAAAAGTGAGAAAGACCCTTTGCAGGCTGATTTCAAACAGGAGTTCACTGGCCTCCTTAGAAGCATCTGGAAAGCACAGAATGCCTTCAGAACGGTGGAGAACGTTCCGCTGTCAAGGTTTGGGAGCTGTTTACTTAGCTCGGCAAAAATGTTTACACCGCCCGGCTCCCAGTAGGTTCAATGAACATTTATCGACTTTGTCTCTGCCAGTGTCTTTGTTTTTAAGAAAGGAATCAAAGTACCTGTTTCACGCAAAAATGCTTCCGCAAATTTAGCCTAGAGCAGCAGAGCATTGAAAAATTCAATTTATGTGTCTTAGATAAATCTACAGCTATGTGTAAGACATTTTCTGGTAAAAGTCGGTAATGGGTTATTTTGCTTTTGAAGAAAGGCGCGTCTTGAAGACTATTTCAGTGACTGAATGAAAGATTTTTCCTGTCTTGGTGCCTGGTGTGGCCTCCCTGGGCGCTGTCATCACAGAAGGGCTCAGGGAGGGGCCGAGGGTGTTTCTCTCTCCTAGCGACATCCCGAGCATCTCTTCTCACATCAGCTAGAAGCTTGAGCAAATCTCCTTATTGAGGATAAGCAGCCTTTAAGAATAAAAATCTATTAATACCAGGAAGAGAAGGGCCTTGGTTGGGCCTAGCGGGCAGGAGGGAGATAGGGCTCACCTCTTGCTGGGTTTGATTATGGGAAAGGATGACTTCACCCAAGCAGATTCTCTCTCCCATCTCCACTGCCCCTATGACCATAACGACCAGCGAAAATGGTCAGAAATGGAGGTGGTTAGTTGAACCAGCGAGGATTCGTAGAAGCACTATCAAATGTCTTCTCCTGCTTCTCAGGAACCCACAGATAGTCAGCTACTATATCTCTTCCCCTAGAGGATGAGGGGCCAGGGAGAAGAAGCTTCCATAACCCAAAGGGGTAGGATGGAAATTCCTCCCGAGTTTTAGATTTTGGAGGCCATCTGTGAAGACAGGGTGAACCGAGGCCGCAGACTGTCTCAAATCATTTATAACGTCAGCGAAATGCTCCTGCCTCAGTGAGTGAATTAACGCTAAAGCACGCTGACGTCAGCCTGTCTCAAAATGAGCCGCATCGGAGGCACTCGTAAATACGTAAATGGGAAGTTCGGGGAGTTTTAAAATTAGGCCTGCTCTGTTACGCTGAGTGAGGTGTTTCTGGCCACGCAGGAGACACGAAGTCTGTCCTGGCGAGAGAGGCCTCCCACTGACGGCGTGACCGAGGGGAAGCACGCTTGCTTCGTGCTTGTTCCTTCTGAGCCCATCCCCTACCTGGACTCAGCTTTACACCTGCATGAAGAGGTGAACTCGGGCTTCCAACAGCCAAAGCCAAGCAAGTGGGGGCGGGGATGGGAAGGCGGGGAGTGCTGTTAGCGTTTTCGGTGAGTGTCATGGGTGTGGGAAACCCGTCCCCAAAGCCACGAAGTGCCTTGTCAAGGTTCCTGAGTCTCCGAGGGCAGGCTTGCTGGGCACAGAAGCTGGAGTCCTTGTCTTTGCAGAATTCGGATTATTATACTAAATAACATAACAGAAAAAGGTTCCTTACTACTTCTTGGTGCTATATAATTCAACTAAGGAATAGCAAATATTTTGTTATTTAAAAAAAAAAAAATCCTGGCGTATTCTTGTCCAATAATATTTCTTTCTTCCAAAAGGCAGCGACATTCTCAGATCCCAGAATCACATTCTCAGTTCTTCAGACTGGACCAGACAATTCTGATATTTCCCAAAGCTCATAAAGACAAAGCATTTGGCTACTTGCGTTTTCCTTTCCTCGAAGACCTAAAACCAGGTAGCAGACTAGAATGAGTAAACAGTCTTCAGTACTAAGTCCCCAAACCCTCACACTCTTGGTCAGCTCATCCTGTTACCACGTAGAAAAACAGATTCAGTCTTTCAAAAATATATTATGAAATATTTCAGATAAATGTAAAAGTGCAAATAATACAACTCTGAGCTCACTATTTAACATGAGAAATAAAACATGACCCCATATGCCCCTCCCCACCCTGTCCCCAGATAACTACGCTCTTGAATTTGATATCATTCCCACGCTTTATTTTACTATGGTTTTGTTTTACATGTTTTTTAACCTATCGTATAAATTATATACATAAAAATATAAATTCACCACAATTTGCCTTTTCCTTTCTACTTTATAAGCATGAGATTCATCTACGTGGACACACACATCTCAAAAACGTGTATATCCCACAGATACCGTGCATATGTATATCATAATTTACTCATCCATTACTTCTTATGGCCAAATTGCTGTACGAAGTAGTTGTACCAGCTTTAACACCCAGAATCAGTACACGAAAGAGTTCTTGTTCATTCAGATCTTTGACAAAGCTTGGTTTACCATTAGCAGACTGTAACTTTTGCAGTTCGATGGGTGAAGGGCGACCTCATAGAAGTTCTAGTTTGCATTTCTGGTTACTAGCAAGATTAGGCGTGTTTATTAGCCATTCCTTTTTCAATTTCTTTGAGTAATCTTGTTGTATCTTTCGATCGTTTTTTTGGGGGGAGGTCGTTTGTGTTTTCCTCATTACCTTATAGGAGTTCTTTATGTGTTCTGAATGCTAATCCTTTCTTAGTTTTGTGCAAAAATTTTCCCTCAGTCCGGTCTGTCTTTGGATACTTTGCTTAGGGTGATTTTCGGTGTACAGATGTTTTAAATTTTAATATAGTTAAATTTCTTCAGTCTTTTACTTTTGGTTTGTTCAGAGTTCATCCAAGAAATACTTCCTCACCTCACGATCAGAAGGGTATCCTCCAATATTTTCATCTAAAATTTCCAAGTTTTGCATTTCTCATTTAGTTCTTCAATCAGTCTGGGATTAATTTGGGTTTGCAATGGGGCAGGGGTCCATTTTCTTCCATTTGAAAAGCCAGCGGTCCTAGTCGCACTCACCGACTACTTCGGCTCTTCCTCACGGACCCTTCAAGGCCACTTCTGTCACCTGTCGAGTGTCGGGCTCTCCGCTGTGCTCCATCGGTCTGTCTGTCTGTCTCTGGGTGTCACCCATACGCTTGGATTACTATAGTTTTCTAAAAGTGTGGACAATAAAGCAGTTCCCTCCATCTCATTCTTCACCGAAATTATTTTGGCCATTTTGGGCGCAAATTGAATCTTTATCCTTTTTTTGTTTTTTGGGTTTTTTTGAGTTGGCCTTGGCTGGGTACAAGCAATCAAACGGCAGGACAATAAGCAGAAGGAAGAAATGAAGCCAAAGTTAGCCCTGGATCACGCTTAAGCCGAATATTTAACCCTTAAATAAACTCCAAAGAAATCGCCGTGTAGTAATGAATAGAAAAGGCCCATAGGAAATAAACTGCTTGTTTACAAAAGCAAAACTATTCCAAAAAACCTTGCCAGGTCTGTAGCAAGGGTCATTTAAAAACAGAAACTGGAGGCCAGCCTCTGGTCACTACCAGTGTTCTCGCCTTTATGTATTTTTAAAGGTCCTGCCATTAAAATTTATTTATTGTGGTAAAACAAGCACAACGTCAAATTTACTTACGTTATCTCGTCCATCTGTAAGTGTACGGTTCGGTGACGTTAAGCACATCCATGTCATTGTGCACCCGTGACTACCACCCTTCTCCAGAACTTTCTCATCACCCCGAACCTAGACTGTGTCCCCATTAAACACTAACTCTCCACCCCCGCTCCTTCCAGCCCTTGGCAGCCGCCACCCTACTTCCTGTCTCTATGAATTTGTCTAGTCCACGAATCTCTTATAAATCCTGACTTTGACTTTTTTTTTTTTTTAAAGTATTACTTTTAAACATACTTTTGCGTACGGGTGGTCACGGAGAGTTCTGAAAAAATCGTGCTAAAACTGTGCGTTTGTTCCTGCGCTTCCTCAGAGCATGCGAAAGGCAGGCCAGACGTCCCTGGGAGAAACCGCGAGAACACACCGATTCTGTCGTAGTGCACGGGTCTGGGAATGAAGGGTTCTCTGCCCCTTTCCAGGGAGACTTGTGTTCCTGCAAAATGCGCTCAGTGACATTTCTGTAGCCTCACAGTCACTATTTGGTGTTCTGCAGTGCCTTCAGATTCAAACGCTCTTGTACGGACCGCAGGACAAGAGGACACTGGCCACCCAGCAGTCCGTGGACGTCCTGTCCAAGTGAGTAGGCCTCCCTCGCACGGTCTCCCCGCGTGGCCCACTCGTTCGGAATCTCAGAGGAAGCGGGTTCTGTGGACGTTTCCATGGAAAGCTGTACTGACTTCCTTTGACTCAAACGATGCAGGACCAGTTCCTTTGACAACCCAGTTGTAAAATATCTTCCTCGCCCGGATGTCAAGAGGAAATTAGCTCTGGGATAATGCCGGAAACATGTGTTGGGACTGGTGTCCGACTGCCCGCAGGTCATCTCATCCTGCTGGGGGACGTGGGGGACCAGCACTGCCTTGGCCCGCTGCAGCCTGCCTCTAGGGGCCTTTGACCCCACCTGGAAGGCTGTCCCCACTGGGCAGAGCCCCACCCCCACCCGATGAGCCTGTGCCCCAGAGAGCGGCTGGCCCACTGCCACGCCCGTGCTCCCGGTAGCCTGCAGATGCGGACACAGCCAACAGGGGGCACTGTCTTGGAGCCGGCCCGTGCGCCCAGGCCCCTTCCCAAGGGGAAAGCAGGCCACCCAGGCCGCCAGCCCAGCCTTCCTCTCCCTATTCTGCTCACTGTTCCATCCTCAGCTCAGCGAGAAAGGCGGCGGGGATTTAGAAGGGAGAAAACGCTTGTGTCGCACGGTCCCGTGCTCCGGTTCGCCTCTCGTTTACGTTCTCCCCCGAGGCTCCCTCCTGAAACGTAGCTTGGCCACTGCGGGGCTTGTCCGCACAGCAGCCAAGGCCGGGGGACACCGGGCTGGGATCCGAGGGGCGCCACAGTCATCCCCCCTCTGCTTGTCCGCAGGGCCCCCGAGATGGCTGTGAAGCCGAAACAGGCCCCGAAATCCAAGCCGGCCTCTGGCACCGGAATGCCCCAGCACACCGTGACGGGGAAGGCGAGGCCGCACGCTGGGGACTGAGACCCAGCCACCCCCGAAGACAGCTTCGCTCATGCCCGGTGCCGACATCCGGGGCGCTGCATCGGCCTGTCTCCAGCCAGAAGATGGAATTCAGTGGTCACTGTCCAGATTTCCAAGGCCAGGTGTTTGCTGGGACACCCAGCGGTGACACCAGCCACCTCCCGTGGGCCGCATCTGACAGTGCACGCCTTTCGGGGTGATCCGGTGCTTCTATACAGCATTTTTCTTTTTACCGCCTACGTGGTTTTTCTTGCCAACAAAAATTTCTACTATTGTGACCGAAAAGCTTCTCTTCACACGTTCAAAACGCTCGTGCGGGAAAGAGGACTCAGCGCCTCGCGCAGATCTGGAGTCAGGTTTGTCAGATTTGGAGCAATGAAATTCAGGACAGAGCCCTTTCCCACAGGAAGGGGACAGGGACTGAGAATAAAATGCTAACGAAGGGAACTCGTGTGTTCCAGGTGACGCTGGGAGCCCTCAGACCCCAGCAGGGGGCGTGCGGGAAGCTCCCCTCGCTCCGAACCAGTCACCCGGTGATGGTGACGGATCAGGTGTGAGCTAAGAACGCTGTCCCCACCCTTTCAGGGCTTCACCCCCAACACGGGGGTCAGTCGCAAACATACAAGCGTGGAGTCGATGACGAGAGACAGAGAAATAGCCGAGTCGAACAGGGCGGCTGAGGGAGGGACCTGACCTGGCCTCGAGGTCAGGGGAGGCAGGTGGGAGCGGGGGTGAAGAGAGGGGAGCGAGGGGGCGTCGGGCCTGGAGCGGGTGCCTAGGGATAGGGTGCCCGCCCCCCGCTGCTCTGCTGCAGGCGGGACGAACGCGGCTGCCACTCTGGAGCGTCGTTTCTGAGCTGGCGCAGCCCTCGGCCCCCGCTCTCCCCCGCTCTCCCCTGCGTTCCCGGGTCCGGCGCGTGGGGGCGGGGAGGGCGGAGTGATGAGATCGGTGTTGGAATGAGCTGGATGGAGCTTGGGAGGGGCAGGAGTGGGGTGCGGACAAGCTGTCCCGCCTCCGCCCTCCCCATGCCACGAGCCGTGGCCCAGCAAGGCTGCGGGCTGGCTAAGACAGCCGCGGGATGCAGCGTGGGCACCTGTCCCCGCCAGCGCCCCGTGGGGACCCAAAACCACTCTGGGGCCACCTCAAAAACCGATGAGGGAAATCAACCCAAAATATCCAGGACAGGGCGGAGAGAGGCAGAGGCCCTTGTCTTCCTCAGGTGTGTGACAGCAGCCACACAGGCCCCCTGTCATCCCAGCCAGGCCTAGGGGATGAAGGCAGCGTGCAAAGGTGTGCGATGAGGCCGCTACTCACCAAGTGTCCCGTCTCACGGAAGACGCGGCTTTCGACGTGGATGGCCGGATTAAAGCATTTTATACACGTACCACACGGGCGTCTGCCAAGGAGTGACTGAAAGCTCGCGTCCCTTCACAGCCCCTGTGCTGGAGCCCTGATCCCATCGTGATCTCTGGGTCTCTGGGAGGTGGGGTCTCTGGGAAGTTATTAGGACACAAGGGTGGGGCCCCGTGGATGGGATTAGTGCCCTCACAAGAGGAGACCCAACAGAGAGGGTCTCTCTCTCTCCATCACCTCAGGACACAGCAAAAAGGTGGCCATGAGCAAACCACAAAGAGCCCCCACCGAGAACCGAATCCAGCAGCACCCTGAGGTTGGACTTTACCTCCCCCCCAGAACCGTGGGACGTAAACGTCCATGTTTGAGCCCCCCCATCTGTGGTTTCTGTTAGAGCAGTGTGAGCTCAGCAAGAGAGTCCATGCTGGGTTTTGGGGGGAAAATGTGAATTCCAATCATACTTTTCCCTTCTTTTCTGTATTTCTTGGAAGATAATACTTTGGAATCCACAAAACACATTTTGAAAAACTTAGCCACCAGCCTAGGAAAGAATGAATTTTGGAATGGTCTACCAAATGCCTCCCATCTATTAAACAGGGGAGGTCTATAGCTATTCATGGGTGTGTGTGTGTGTGTGTGCGCGCGCGCGTGCGTGTGTGAAAGGCTGCAAACAGGTAACGCGTGCGTGTGTGTGTGTGTGCGTGTGTGCATGTGTGAAAGGCTGCAAACAGGTAACAGTACCTAATTATTCCTTTGTCACAAACTACCTCAATTTTTTTCAAGCTCCTAGGAAACAGCCATGGTTACCTAACCATCCCAATTTGCACGTAAGGTCACCAGCCACCTTGGTGTGCCCAGCGAGTGTCCTGGTTTTAGCTCTGAAAAGTCCTGTGTCCCTGGCAAAGACCCCTTCATCCCGAGCAAAATGGGATGGCTGGCCACCCCAGTGGTGCCAGCCTTCCAGGCTGTGATGACGACATTCTTACCACAAACTGTCCAGTCTATGTCCGATCTCCCCAGTGATTGTGAGCCACCGTAGACAACATGCGTGTAAACACGTGTGTGCTTTAACTAGAGTTTACATAGAAAACACAAAAGTCACCTACTAGAAAACATTCTCTTTTGGAGCCACGTGGGGTTTTTTTTCCCTTAGATTTTTATTTTTGCACATTCTTGTGATATTTCCCTTCACAGGGAATGGGAGGTTAGCAAGATCAGCTTTTTAGATGATTCGATTCTAAATGTACATTTAAAATAACAATATCGAACAACCAGTGGGAAGGTACAAAACATTCCATTACCACTTTGCCTGAACAACAATAGGAAAAGACTGTGTCCACACCCCATCCAACCACAACGGTGATTTCTACTGTCTTCGGAGTGACCGGTTTCAAAGGACAGGCAGCTGTAGGGTGACCTGTCACAGCGTCAAGGGCACACCCTGCTCTTGCGTGACTCAGAGACGTCGTAACCTACGACAGCTCATGACTCCGTGCTGGTAAGAACTCATGGTGGGATACTTCTCAAAGATAATCATTCCGACATGGAGATAAGAATGAAGATCTCAGACATTTATTTCCCAAACAGACGTGGGTCACACACTTCACAACCTATGCAGGTTAGCACCCATCTACGAGGTCATGAGCCACGACAGTGACATCGAACTAAGCCACTTGGACTCACATAATAGAGTTCCCGTCATCGGTCCTGCCTTCAAAACAGTAGGCTGTCACCCTGACCAAATTCTCATCAATAAATTACTTTTACAAATACCACCAATGCCACAGAAAATCAGCCCATCTCTGTGTTGGAATCAAGAAGTCTGTGGCAATCACCAGTTTATTTGGCATATAACAAAGGCTTAAACTTGCAAGGCAAATCAACTTTCTATTCCCTGACTCACGGTGTTTTTCAAATAGACCATCCTGAAAGCTCTGTGTTTCTCCCACTCA